AAAAAAAAAGATTTTATTTATTTTGAGAGACAGAGCATGAGCAGGGGAGGAGCTTAGAGAGAAAGGGGCAGAGAGAGAATCCCAAACAGACTGCACAGTGCCCAGTGTAGAGCTCCTAGGAACTGCGAGATCGTGACCTGAGCTGAGATCAAGAGCATTTGCTTAACCAACTGAGGCACCTGGTCGCCCCACAAAACAGAAGCTTAAAGTTCTAATGATATCACTTGGTACAGTGGGTTGTCAGAAGGTAAGTTTACAAGACACAGTAGGAAATTGTTTTTGTTACATGGGACTTATTTAAGAATTTATATGACTTTTCTTTGTGGTTGTTCAGCAGATGCAGATTTTTCTCACGAGAGTGACTTAGTTTTCTGAGGCTTGTCTAGTAAAAATTGGGTTCTTAGTTTTTATTTCCTATTTAGTATTGTTATGAATCCCCTTTCAAGTATTTTAATATTCTCTACACTAGATATTGCTCCTCATTATCATCACAAAGTCAGTGATGTATGTCTATTAAAAAAGCATATCCGCATTTTAAAATGGAATCATCCTTGGGGTGCCTGGGTGGTTCAGTCGGTTAAGTGTCTGACTCTTGATCTCTACTCAGGTAATGATCTCATGGTTGTGAGATCGAGCCCCACATCTGTCTCTGTGCTGATAGCCCAGAGCCTGCTTGGGATTCTCTTGGATGCTCGCTCGCTCTCTCTCTCTCTCTCTGCCCCTCTCCCCAACTTTGTGCTGTCTATCTCTCTCTCTCTTCAAAATAAATAAAAATAAACTTTGAAAAAAATATAAAAGAAAATGGAATCATCCTTAAGTGTACTTTGTTTAGGGACCTTTAGGTGAGCTGTCACTTTAAATGAGAAACGGAGGGGCCTGGCTGGCTCAGTCCATGGAGTGTGTGACTCTTGATCTCGTGATTCTAAGTTTGACTTTGATGTTTGGTGTAGAGATTACTTAAAAATAAAAAAATCTTTAAAAACATAAGTGAGAAATAGAGAAACTATTTATTTAGTTGTAAATATGTTTGAAATGGTAATTAGGTTAATGCGATAATGGACAAATTTATCATAATGTACATATAAGAGAGTCAACCATATACTGTCTCATGTCTTAGAGAAGATTGCAATGCCACCTGTGAACTAGGTTGACCCCCAAAACACAAATAAAATGAATCCTTTCTGGATTCAAGTTCCAAATTATTAATTTACAAAACAATACAGACAATATAGGAACAAATTAAGCTGCACTGGGGGGCATAATCACAAAAACTCAGACTGTAGAAACTTGTTCAGAACAAATAACCTCATTTCTTCAAATAAATTACGGGGGGGGAAGGTAGAGAGACAACCTTTAGATTGAATGAGACTTAAGATATATCAATTAGTTAAAACATATAGGCTTTACTTAGACCTTGATTCAAACAAAAGCAAACAAAAACAGGCATTTATGACAATTGAAAATTTGAATACTGAGTGAATATTTGGTGTTTAGTGGTTTTTAAAACATTAAAAAAAAACTATGATATTATAATAGGATTGTTTAAAATGTCCTTAACTTTCGGTGATACACAAGGAAATATTTATAGATGAAATGAAATCCTTTTACGATTTGCTTCAGAATAATATGAGAGGTGGTGAGATAGTAGATGGAGGTATAGGTGAAGCAAAATTGATCCAGCTGGTCAAGATGCTGAAGTGGTGGGGAGGGGTATCATAATACTATTATGTCTGCTTTTGTATATGTTTGAAATTTTCCATAATGAAAATGTGTCTAATGTTCATAAATTTTTTTAGGCCGTGTTTTTTTTTTTTTAAACAAATGTAATTTATCTGCTTTTATATTCATCTTTTTTAATTCTATTTTTGTACTTCATGTCACTTTATTTGAAATGACGGTAGTATTTATTCAGCATCACAAGGTATATACATACATACTTTGAGATGTCTTTTCAGTATGTATTCTTAGCCTTGTGACCAGTAACACGTAGTTGAGCCATTTGTTTGTAGGGCATTTTTCAAGGATGATATACGTCATCTTTGGCTATGATAGATTAAAATTGGCTGATGTGTAGATTAAAGTTCTGCTTGTTTTTTTTTTTTTAACCCTGTACTCTAATTGGTTAACTGCTTTTACTAAATTGCTAATTGCTGATTTCTCTAACTCAACAGGAAACCTTTGTGCCATCCTCAAAGAGCTGGCTGCTGACTTGACTGCCTCTGATATACAGGTGGCAGCATCTGCATTTTTACTTCCACCCCTCTGTCATAGGGATGATCTTGTGATATTAAGTCCTTTGCTACAAGAAACTGACCATAGATTTATTGAAGAACAGGTATAGTGATTTTCCATTGACTCTTGGGTTGATTCATTCTGTGAACAGTCATTTTAATTTTATATATATATTTTTGTTTGTTTGTTTTTAGCTCCTGCTTGGTAATGGTATTGCTTGTGGAAGTTTGGAGTATGACCCTTATGCTATTTATGAGAAAGATGTATTGGGAGATTCAGTGCCTAAGCCCCTACCTCCAGTACTATCAGTTATTAGCTCTGCAGTCAAGCTCTTTGGAGTTGTATGTGCTCATGTGGGAGAAGCTCAAAGGTAGACCATCTTTAGTAGTTCACTTAACCTGAATTAAATTGTTCACTTACCCTGAAATATAATATTTAAGAGTTGGTAATTGGTTCAGTGAATATGTAATAGAACTGGTGCGTAAGAAAAATATTGTCAGAAGTTCTCATTAGTATAAAAGATTTTTTTTAATGTTTGTGAAAGAGATTCATGCATGTGCATGTACCCGTGACCAGGGGAGGGGCAGAGAGAGAAGGAGAGAGAGAGAGAGAGAGAGGGAGAGAGAGAGAGAGAGAGAGAGAGAGAGAGAGAGAATCCTATACAGGTTCTGTGCTGCCAGAGCAGAGCGGGACACAGGGCTCAATACCATGAACTGTGAGATCATGACGTGAGCCAAAATCAAGAGTCTGACATTTAACCACTGAGCCACCCAGGCACCCCACTATAAAGATTTCTTACAGATGACAAGTAAAAGTGAGATCAAGGCTCTTGTTTAATGATTCACCTTAACACTTAATAAGTGTTAAGTCAATAAATTAAATTCAGTTAAACTGAAAACTGCTAAACTCTGTTGTGATATAATACTTCACCGACAATACAAATGAAAATACAAATTAAAAAACTCATTGATACAAGAATTTTGATTTAGGGGCACTTGGGTGGCTCATTTGATTAAGTGTCTGACTCTTGGTTTTGGCTCGGTTCATGATCACATGGTTCATGAGATTGAGCCCTGCATGGTGCTATCTGCATGGAGCCTGTTTTGGATTCTTCCTCTCACTCTCTCTGCCCCTTCCCTGCTCATGTGTGCTCTCTCTCTCTCAAAAATAAATAACTAAACTTTAAAAGGTTTTTTTTATTTAAAAAAAATAAAAAATTTTTGATTTATGAATTATTGTTACAAAAAAGAACACTGGTTTTCTGCTTAGATTAGGTCTCATAGGCTTTCTTACCTTGGAGGTTTTGTGGAGCCATTATAGTTTCGTGGATTTCAAAAATTAGATTAAAATTGATTAGTCTTCAGTTTGGTAGATTTCTGTCCACTCAAAGTAAACTTCAGTTTTGAAATATCACAGGCTAATAAATGGTTTCTTATTGAGAATGACAGTTTCTTTTGATAACTGAAGTAATACCTTTCATGGAGATCAAAAAACACTACTTGTATCTAGTATTCAGGAAATTCTGTGAGATACTAAATGTGACGTGAATTTCTCCTATAGGCTATGCTGTTTAACAATTTACAAATTAATAAGTATCCTCATTTATTCATATTCTCTCCTTCCTTCCCTTTGCTCTCTTTCTTTCTCCCTCTCTCCCTCACCCCACTGCCTCTCACCCTCTCTTTCTTCCTCTCTTCTTCTGGCATGCTAAACTAAAAATAATACATGTAACTAGATCATAGCTTTTATATCATTTTTATCTAGTTATGTCTTCCAGAGAATACCAATTAGGTAGAGAATTTACTCTCTTTGACGAACATTCACAAAAATATTTGAATCTTATCAGCAACACATTTTGGGGTTTTGTTTGTTTTCTTTTTAAAGTAAGCTTTAGGTCCAACATGGGGCTTGAACTCATGACCCCAAGATCAAGAGTCACATGCTCTACAAACTATGTGACCCTGACAACACATTTTTGAAACAGGTCTTTAGATACTTTACTTTCAGGGGATTGAAAAGTGAATAAACTTTATGTTCAGTTTTAATAGCCTCATGTCATTTTATTGAAAATGATGGTGGTATTTCCTCAGTATCATAAGATAGACACACACACACACTTTGAGATGTCTTTCCAGAACTTAAATTTCAAAACATGGTGTTTTTCCCAAATTTATTTATAGCCAATAGCTCCCTGTATATACTGTAACCATAAACTTACGGTATTTAGACAACTTATGACTAAATTATAAATGAATGTCATAGCACTAAAAGATGAGAGGAAAATCACAGTAGTCTGGAATATGCAAAGAATTGATAGAGAGGATGGGAGTTGAACTAGTCTGTAACTGTACCGTGTTATAGAGCGTACAATTTAAAATAATTAATTTGGGTTATTACAGTAGTAATTGCAGTGATGAAACTTGTAGGTAAAATATTTAAATTGAGCATGTTCTTAAATGGCTCCACTAACTCTTTTTGATAGATCTAAGACAAAAAGTAAAAAAGAAAAGAATATACATCTTCCAAACTTTCCTTTTAAAAAATTGATTTTATAGGGTGCATGGTTAGTCCCCACCAAGCTCAGTCATGTGGCTCAGTTAGTTAAGCATCTGACTTCGGCCCATGTCATGATCTTGTGGTTCGTGAGTTCGAGCCCCACATCAGGCTC